TGTTGGATACATGTGCTGGATGATTTTGTGTCACGCAGACTGGTAAGATTACCGTTTGGTAGGGGGCACCGCGATGATTCACGGGGCCGCTCCTTGCTGTGGGACCCGCTCTTTGAGCACCCCCTCTTCCGTCCGTGTGAAGGACGGTCGTCGACCTCTCGTGAAGTTAATACATCACCAAAACAGTCTCACCCGACAAATAAGTGGCGTAGGCCGCAAACACTCTAGAGTTTGCCCATCGAGGGAAGCCACGTCGGGATGAGCTCTGCTGGAGACGAAGAGCGCGCTGCTGCGAGCGGAGAACAGATCCGCCCGCCGGTGCAGGAGGGCCGCGACGCGGAGCCTGCAAGTTTGCAACGGCAGATTTCGCAATTGGCGGCCCTGGTGGAGGAGTCGGTGAAGAAGAAGGCGCCTGGCAGCGTCGTGGCGGATGCAGCCAGTAGGGGTGGCTGGGTTGCTGCCCCCAGAGGCCAACGAGAAGAGCCCACGCTGCCGCTCGGCGGTGGCGGGGGATTTCTCCAGCAGCAAACGAGAGATAGTGGGCAAGGACCACGGTCGCTGCTGGAAGGCGGCTGGGCCAGCAGATCGGGAGCGAACCCTGTTGGACCAGCCGGAGTGGGCCCGGGCATAGGACCGGACTACGGGGAAGCGAGGGGGTTAAACCCCCCAGGTGAGATACCCGTGATTCGAGGAAATGGAGAATACCTCGACGGCTGCAGCAGCAGCCACCAGAAAGGAGTTACGGTCAATGCTCCGCTCCTAGACGGAAAAAGCCGTAGCCACGGATTTGACTCGTGGCGAAAATCATTCATCCAAGCTGCGAAGACCATCGACTTGGACGGGCTGTTTATAGGAGATGCAGAGAGCAGTATCCCCGTGGGCGACCCAAACTTGCCCACTTCCGAACTGCTCCGTAGGGGGTACACGAGAGCAGAAGTCCAACGGGGGCTTCAGGCGTTCCACTTTATCATTACTGCTGTGGTAAAAGAAGCTGACAAAGCAATCGTCAGCAGCTGCACGTCAGCGAAAGAGGTCCTTGCTGAATTGGAAAAGGTCTACGACCCGGAGTCACAGGGGTCAAAACAGGCCTTGATGCGGAAGATGTTCGACTTTGCAATCCCCACACACAGCAACAGCAACCCCATCGAGCACCTTGCAGCACCTTGCCGGCGTGTGCGACGAGAGAGATGCCCCGGTAGTTGCCGCACTCCGTCGTGTATACACATGGGTACAATTTGGACAAAAGCGGGTCAAAATATAGACAAAAGTGGGTACATGATAAAAAATAGTTGACGCCGATGGGTATACCCACCGCGATGTCGGACAAAAGTGGGCACTCTATTGAGGCCCTGCCGCCCTCGGCGGTACTAGGACCAAAGGTGTGCCTGAAAGTTGGAAAAAATCGATGCCCGTGCTGTGTATGGTCCCTGCCTGTGTCGCGCAGTTGTCAGAATGGGGTTTTGAGTCGTTTGGGGGCCGCCTATGGACCACCGGTCGCCCCGGTGGTCTGGTCGTATCCTCGTAATCCGCTAGTAGTCGCAGAGGTCGTGAGTTCGAATCCCCATGGGGTGAAAAATTTACGAAATTTGCGGGTGAAAGCGAAATATAGCGAAAAAGCTCTCGTGAGTACCAAACTTCGACGTTAGCACCGCTGACGAGGGAAAGGGACGGCTTGACCCTTCTCGCGATAATAACGAAATTCAGCACGCACCGCAGGAGGAAGGTGGGGCATGAAAATAAATAAAAAGAAGAAAAAAGCCCTGGTGTTCACCCCCTCCTGTGTGACCCTGGATGGTTGCAGTTGTACGAAAAAATACACTGAAAAGTGTAGTACTCTACATACGCTGAAAAGTGTAGTACACGTCTCACCACGAAAAATGGGGGGACTGTCGCCAAAATAGGACGAAAAACAACAACAAACAGGAGTGCGCGCGCGCTGGATTTTCGAGTACCCACTGTTGTCCGAGATTGGGGTGGGTATGTGTACCCACTTTTGTCTATTTCCCTTGAAATATTCGCATCGACCGCGCTAACCGGCTGACCAATCAAAAAAAGACGTCAGTGCCAGCGGGTAAAAATCAAGGTCCCTGGAAGGGGGCCAAATGTGTGTGTGTTTTCGTCCTATTTATTATTGTGGCGACAGGCCCCCCCTTTTTCGTGGTGAGACGTGTACTGCACTCTTCAGCGTATTATGTAGAGTACTACACTAGGTGTATTTTTTCGTACAACTACAACCATCCAGGGTCACACAGGAGGGGGTAAACACCAGGGCTTTTTTCTTCATTTTTCTTCTTTTCATGCCCCGCCTGTCAGGAAAATCGTGCGTCGAGACCACCAGTAGTCGGACACGGTTTGACCTTTGAATACGATTGCAGCAACTAGTCTGCAGTAGAAAAAAATCCATCTCTTCATGGCATGTATTCTCTTGTTCTAAAAATATTCCGGAAGCATGCTAGGTCAAGGTTGACCGGGACATCTATGTAGAACGTGTGTAGCTTCTGGAAGCCTTCTGGAAACTTCTGGTTCCTCCTGTAGCCTCTGGAAGCCTTTCTGGAAACTTCTGGTTCCTTCTGTAAGCTTCTGGAAGCGTTCTAGATCTAGGTTGCAGTTGATACTCTTCTAGAACGTAGGAGGGCTTCCAGAAATCATTCTGGAAGCATTCTGGATCTTTCGTGTGATTGGCTTATTTGTCCGGTATTCGAGAAGAGTGGTGCAGCCCTAAGCTCGCCCACTCCTCTCACTCCTCTTCAGTACCAGCAACATCTGACTCGGGAGTCAGCAACTAATAAAAGCATCTTCATATTTCCATTCCAAGTCTCTCGCGGTTGGAGACGCACAGAGTGTGAACCTCTGAGGTAGGCTACACAGCCTACCGGCATCTGCAGCATCGTACTGCTGCTAGTGCACAGCGAAATATACTCTGACAGGTTATGAGCCTCGGCTAACGCACACACTACGAGCTGCGAACATCACGGGAAGATGAAGGCAACCCCTTCTCGGGACATCAACCTTCATCCGTGGACAACGAGTGAACCTGGGAACGGGGATTTCTGGAGATTGCGACGCCGTCATCGGCCAACGGCAACACAACAAGCAAACACGCAAACTTGGTCATCTACACCAAGGTGCTGAGGGCTCACGTCGTATACACACGTTACCACCCCTGCGGCAGTAGTGGGTATCTCTGTGGTGAACTAGCAGCAAGGGTCACGTGCGCGGGAGTCTCGAGCGGCATACGCATCGGGTGTACAAGGAACTACACTGTATCATCAGTGGAGGCGATCAACAACCGGAGTCCTCTATATCAGTAGCAGGAGCGGAATCGGAAACAAGAAGACCGCAACCGGAGTTCTCTATATCAGTAGCAGGAACGGGGTGGGGAAGTCTCGGGTACAGGCACTAGTACCACGAGTAAACTTACTCCTACAGCAGGAAGTACTATAATCAAGACGGAGAAAATAAAGCTGGAACGAGCAATGGATACCGCAACGAGCGACACAGGAGGTGGAAGCGCGTTCGCCAGCGATAGTTCTACGAACCTGGCAACCGTGATCAAAGGCCTCAAGAAATTCGACGGAAAGGACCCAGCTGAGTTCAAGACATGGATGAAGAAATTCTGCGTGGTGTTAGGTGTGACCAGGAAGGACATCCTGCCACTGCTGAAGAAACAAAGGAAGCCAGATCCCGCAGACACAGCGGCCTTCGACTCCTACACAAGGGCAAACGAAGATCTCTACGCCATTCTTTTCCTCCTAGTGGAACTTCCAGCCGCCTTGTCGATACAGAAGCACGAAGACGACACTGGCATCAGCGGCGACGGACAAGCTGCCTTCGAGGAGCTCTGCAACAACTATGACAGGGTAACGGACGAGGTCATTAGGGCCAAGATGGAGGAGCTGGAGAACAACCCCATGAACCCTGGTGAAAATCCCGACGACTACTTGAACCAGAAGCACCTACTTCGCACCCAGCTGGATGAGATGGGAGAACCCATCTCCGACCGCCGCTTCAAGGACATCTGCGTACAGGGCTTCTCCGACGAATACAAGGACGTCAAACTGATGGTGTACAGAGACCAAACCTTCAACGTCCTGGACATGCAATCCACCATGCGCAACATCTTATTGGACGAACAATCGAGCAAGGGATGGAAGGGATGCATAGCTAGTCGAGGATTTGCCATGGCAACGACCGCGTCTGACATCATCTGCCACAGCTGCTACGAGCCGGGGCACATCAGGAGGAACTGCCCCAAGATCAAGAACAGGGCGAAGAAGAAAACGAAGCCCGCCGGAGCTACCAAGTGGTGCTCCAAGCACAACACCACGTCTCACTCGGACGAGGAATGCTACCAGCAAGGAGGAAAGCGCCCGGAAGACACCAAGGACTCAAGTAAAGCATTCACCGCGTGCTCCAACTGCACTCACTGCTCGTAGGGGTCCCACAAGCACGACTCAAACAATGAAGTGGCAGTTGTCGACAAGCCCCGGAACGAGGACGCCTTTGACAGCGGCTTCATGTTCGCCACGTGTTCCCGTATNCAAGCACAACACCACGTCTCACTCGGACGAGGAATGCTACCAGCAAGGAGGAAAGCGCCCGGAAGACACGAAGGACTCAAGTAAAGCATTCACCGCGTGCTCCAACTGCACTCACTGCTCGTCGGCGTCCAACAAGCACGACTCAAACAATGAAGTGGCAGTTGTCGACTTCACCCGGGACGAGGACGCCTTTGACAGCGGCTTCATGTTCGGCACGTGTTCCCGCATCTCAGGACGCAACTTCGCCGCGAGCTCCACCGGGGTAGGCCTGCTGGTAGACACGGGAGCATCGGAGACCATGTTTGACAATCGCCTCATCCCCGACGGAAACCTCCACGATTACACCCAGCGAAACTCTCCAAAGATCGTGGACGTGGCCGGAGAAAGACAACTCAAAGGCACGGCCACGGGCATCCTACACTGCACCGTCAAGGACAATCGAGGACAGCAATTGCGCGTGCGGATTCAGGGACCCATCGTTCCGGGGCTTGGTCGCAACATATTTTCGCCCATCTCCCTCCTGAAAAAGGGATTGCGCTGCGTCGTCGAAGAGCGCACTCCGCACCTCACTATCCAAGGCAAGGTGATTCCACTCACGCAAGATCCGCGAGACCAAGGCATGTGCACCCTCGACATCACGTTCGAGGGAGAACGTCCAGCCATCTGGCACGAAATCCCTCGTGCCCCACCAGAAGCAGTCACAGACCCACACGGCGAACGCCGTCTGCTTTACGCTAGTGAGCGCGGACACCTGGCACAGGAGGCTTGGAATTTCAAAGCTCGGAGCCTGGACATCCTTCGGAAGGACACGGGTACCGGGGTGGACTATCGCGACAGTCTCTCCCCTTGCGGGGTCTACCAAATCGCGAAACACAAGCAGTCCCCCCACCCGAAGCAATCGACTCGCGAACTCTCCCTGCTGGACAGCCCCCACTCGACGAGCGACCTGGACTTCACGGCGTAGAACGAACTCCTTCGGCAAGAAGTCCGGATGATGCAGCAAGACAATCTCGCTTGGGAGGAGCTTCGCCTAGAACTGGACGGGCACGAGAACCAACATGAAAACGGGCAAGATCTCGGCGACGGGGACGCTCCATCACCACATCTCCCATCGACGCCAGCTGGACCGTCATCCGAGACCCACGCATCTAGCCCCAGTCCATCATC